AGGAAGGAAGGAAGGAAGGAAGGAAGGAAGGAAGGAAGGAAGGAAGGAAGGAAGGAAGGAAGGAAGGGCACAGATTTGTATATTTGTTATGTGGGTGCCTTTGTAGTGCTGACAGTAACCCTGACTGCTCATGCCTCATGAGCTTCTGCTGAGATTATTAATGAAGAAACTTTTCACTGGACATCACCACAGCTCCCCTCTCCCAGCTGAGAGCTCAAATCATCAGCTTTTATGGAGTTTTCTCTAAATTTGACTAAAACCTGGATTCTGTAACACACAGGAGATTCCCTCCTGTTTTTATCAGTCAGTACATTGCTGGAGGCTTCTGCTTTTACAAGCAATATTCTGATGAAGGAAAGCAACAAGAAATCAAAAAAATCCCTGCCACCAGGACCTGAAACAGAATGTTCAGGATTTACTACAAACCATCAATTTGATAGATTATTTTGGGATTGCCTTCATCCCATTAGAGCCAATGGAAAATCTCCCAGGGACTTCAGACAACATCCTTTTTTTTCCATATGAAAAAGTGAAACTATTAGAAGATGGAACAGAATGTAAGAATCAGATTTGCAACTCTACCACTGTTCTGGATTTATTCTCTCTCCTCCATAAATCACCTAAATAACTCTTTAATAGTTTTTCCACCTGTAAATTGGAGAGAATTGGTACACCAACATTGTTCAGAGAATCTGCAGAGCATAAAGTTCTAAAAATACAGGAATAACTATTTATTAAAGCTAGGACATTTGAAAAAATGTCTCAATGAAAAATGTTTATTAAACCCTTATATGAAATGAATTAGACACACGATGCATGACAAAGTCCTGAATACACAGGATACAGCCCTGGAGAGGAGCTGTTAGCTTTTAGGCCTGTTCATCCAGTGAATTATTTGTGTTTTTGGAAACTCAAATACTGTTTCAGCTTTCTAATATGAAAAATGGGGATAACTATCTTCTTCACAAGTTTGCTCAGAGGCTACAGCACTCTGACATCTTTGGGTGAAAGCAGAGAGAAAGGAGAAATGATCAGTAATTGGGATCAAATGCTGGGAAGGGTCATTTAGTGCAATTCCCTGCTGTTGGTGACAACTGTATCATAAAAATTTATGAAGCTCCATTTTCCCTTTCATTTTCAGTTTCCAGTATTTATACCACCCCTTCTCTGTATATTAATCAGAACACACGCTCCTCTTTCACTCAGTCATTTCCTTCTATTTTCACCATTCCAGTCCTCAGGAGCATTTGATTTTTCCTGTGTGTTACCATGAAGATTGTCTTTATTGATGTCTCCCAACTTTCTGGCATCAGAAAGTTGGATTAATCAGCACATATCTACCTTTTTTTGGCAAGAGTATCAGTAGTGATCCCAAGACCAATAATTATGAAATAATTGAAATAATTCTTCCCTTCCTCCTTCATTTCTGCATAGTGATCTAGCTTCAGTAAAAGGGTACAGTGTATTTGGTATCCTGGCTCCAGGATATCCAACAGCCTTCTGGTTATGCCCCAGAATTTCTGCAAAAGATGGGATGGGAATACTGGACTGCTGTTTAAAAGAGTTTCTAGGAATCATTTTTATATAGTGCTCACTGCATTTGTATCATGCTCAGAGCTTACCTAATGGATTGGCTCCTGAAGGGGCTTGAAACATTTCAGGTGGGATTCTCCTGAAAAACTGCATTTACAATCTAGGTCCCTACTCGTTCCACATCCCCCTTGAGTTTCCTGGTAAACTAATAAATGTAGGTAGGTTCAGGAGTGGGACTTGTCTTACCCTGAAGTAAACAGTCCCAATTTTATCAGTAAAATTCACATTCAAAGTACAATTTATTATAATGAATAGTTCTCTATCAGCCCTTGTTAGATGCAGTCTAGGAGCTGGACTCGATGGTCCGTGTGAGTCCCATCCAATTCATGATATTCTATGATTCTGTGCCCCTGCCTCCAATTCCCAGACACATGGTAACTTCCAGAGGTGGAAATCTGCGGTCTGCTCAAGCTCCAGCTGCCTGGGGCAGCCAGGAGAGCAAAAACTGAGTTTAAGTGCCATGAGAGATAAAGGAAAGATTAATAGAGACATTTAAAACTGCTCTTTCTCAGAATCACAGAATCATTAAGGCTGGAAAAGACCTCCAAAATCATTGAGCCCAACTTTGTGTGAGCAAACACAACCATGTCAACTAAACCACAGCACTGAGTGTCACGTCCAGTCATTTCTTGAACACCTCCAGGGATGGTGACTCTACCACATCCCTGGGCAGCCTCTTCCAATTCTTGATAACCCTTCCCATGAAAAAATTCTTCTTGATGTCCAACATGAACCTCTTTTGGTGCAGCTTGAGGCCATTTCCTCTTGTCCTGTCACTGGTTCCCTGGAAGAAGAGGCCAACTCCCACATTTCATCTGGAATGTCCAGCTCGGGGCTCCTCAGTACAAGACATGGAGCTCCTGCAGCAGGTTCAGCAGAGATGATGAAGGGGCTGGAACATCTCTCTTTTATGAGGAAAAGCTGAGGGAGCTGGGGCTGTTCAGCCTTGAGAAGATATGACCGAGAGGGGAGCTCATCCCTGTCTGTCCCTGTCTGCAGGGAGGGCTCAGAGCAGGGACCAGGCTCAGCTCCTGGTGCCCAGAAATGGGACAAGAAGAATGGGCAGGAACTGATCCCAGAAGTTCCACCATTGCCCAGAGAAGGTGTGGAGTCTCCCTTCACTGGAGATATTCCAGCACTGTCTGGACACAGTCCTGTGCCTGTGCTCTGGGATAACACTGCTTGAGCAGGGAGGTTAGACCAGAGGACCCCACTGTGGTGTATTCCAACCCTTCCTATTCCATGATCCTGTGATTTCAGACTTATGTTATTAAATATACACAATGACTGGTGAGCACTCAAACGCTGTGGTAATTTTAAAGTAAATTCCAAGGATTTCCTTGATTTCCTTGAAAGAGATTATCACAGAATCACATAACCATGGACTAGGTAAGGTTGGAAGCGACCACAGTGTGTCACAGAACACAGAATATTCTGAGTTAGAAGAGATGCACAAGGATCAGCGAGTTCAACTTGTAATGGCCCACACGGGGACCGAACCCGCAACCTTGGCGTTATGAGCACCAGGCTCTGCCCAGAGTCACCTGGTCCGACCCCTTGCTCAGGCAGGGCCATCCCAGAGCACAGGCACAGGATCTGGGATACCTCCAGGGCGGGAGACTCCACAACTGGAATATCCCAGTGTTAAAACGAGAGAACTGTGCCAGCCGTGCCACTGAGCGAGGACAAGGGGTTAAACTTCGCCTCTTCCCGAGCAAATCCGCCAGATCGCGTCAGGATCTGCGCTGCCTCGAGGAAGGAAAGGAGCAGGGAGGGAGGGAGAAGAGGAGAGAGCCCTTGGGGCGGGCGCGGGGACGGGACGCGCTTTCCCCACCTCCCCCGCCCCGCTCCCTGAGGGGCGGCACCGTGACCCCCCCACGGCCATGTTGGGGGGGGCAGCGGCGCATCCCATGGTGCAGCGCGCCGGGAGGGCGGGGAGAGAGGGACGGAGGGAGGGAGGGCAGGAGGAGGGAGGCGGCACTGCCCGCGCAGACCCTCCGGAGCCTTCTCCTCCTCTTCGTCCTCCTCCTCCACCGCGGCTTCTCCTCTTGGCCGTGGCGCCGGAGGCGGCCGTGCCCACAGCGCGGTGAGTGCAGGCGGCGAGCGCTGCCCGGGGAGGGGGCGGGCGAAGCGGCCCCGATTTACATCACGGGGAGGGGGTGTAGGGGGGCAGCGGCGTCTCCTTCCGTGTCCCCCGCCCCAGCCCCCGGCTCGGGGAGCGGCGACGGCTCCGCAGGGGAAGGGAAGATCGTCCCTGGTGCCGCCCGTTCCTGTGTCCCTGGGGAGGGGCTGCCGCGGACACCGGGGCGCAGGAGGCACCGCGCAGTGGGCTGGGGGTCTCTCCGGGCAGAGCCGCTTCCCTCCCCGGGAAGGCAGGATGGGAAGGGGATGGAAGAGGAGGAGGCTGCGGGGAGAGGTCATCTGGTGCCCCGCCTGCCCTGTCCCCCACCCTGGGGGATCCGGCCGCCCCCTGCGCCCTGCCCGCCCCGCAGCCCCGGCCGGTCCCACCGGATGTGTCGGGAGGCGGCGAGGTGGAGCGGGACGGTCCGTAAAGTAAACAAAGGGAAAGGGAAGGGAGGAGGAGGTGTCCCCTCGCTGCCGGAGCCGGACCGCCTGGCTTTGCCCCTTCCCCTCCTCGGGCGAGCGCGTAAATCCGTGGCTGCCTCTTGGAGCCGGAGCGGGAGCGCAGGGGAAGTGGTTGAGGCTTCTTCTCTTTAGGGTTTGGGGCTTTTTTTAGGTGTGTGGGCTTTGGGGGTTTATTTTTGGTTCGTTCTGGTACTGCCCTGGCTGAGACCGTGTGATCCAAAGAGAATCGGGGCAGCGCTCCGGTGCCTTCACCCGGGGCTGGCCCCCGGCGGCTGCAGCGGGGACGGGGAGCGGTGTCCCCTCAGCGCGGCTCCTGTCGGCCCGGTGCTGCCACAGAACTTGGATCACACTGAGGAGCCTCTGCACTTCTTGGAGAAATCTGATATATTTTCGTTTTCCGGTTGTAAACCTGATTTTGGAGTACAGTGAGAATTGCAGCTGTAACAGAGAATTGTTCTCCTCAAATCCCCGCGACTAATTGTGAAACATACGCTGTACATTGCCAGCTCTCACATCTCTTCCCAGACCTCCTGTGCTCTGATGATGCTTTTTTGGGACAAGGGGTAGACTTTACTCTTTGATTTCCCGTTCTTTTTTTTGTTGTTTCCTGGCTGAAACAGTGTTGGCTGTGCTGTTTCGGTGTTAGCTGCCTTGCAGTCAATCCTATTCCAGTGCTCTGGGAGCAGGGTACACTGCAGGCCCTGGCACTGGAGCCCAGTTTTTGGCTCTTCCACTGGGATAAGAGCAGTGCTGTAGTAAAGGCATTAAACAAAAAGTTCATTCTAAAAGAGAAACACTTGTAAATTCATATTGAAGTGTATCATGCAAATGTTAGTGTAATAGTGAAGTGGTACTGCAGTGTCCCTTTAAAATTCACACCCCTTTGGCATTAGGTTGTTTGATGTATTTTTTCCCCGTCCTGGATTAATTGGAAAAGTCCCACATTCCTCGAAGTTAATCTGCCTTTATCTTCTCTGGTTCTATTAAACCTAGGTAAGGTCAGGAGCAAAATTGGATTGGAGCCAGAAAACATTAAATGTTACACAGTTATTTGGAACAGTTTGTTATCTCACTGATGTTGTCCACGTCCAAAATTCCACCACTTCCTTTCTCCACCTGGCCTTTTTTTGTTACCCCTGAAATCCGGCTGTTACCCTGCCCCCTTTGTGGGAACATCTTTGCCTGTGTGGTGTGATTTGTGGATGGGGAACACAGCCCTTGGATTTCTTAAAGCAGGGTTTGTGGCTGAGATTCTGTACAGAATGTGTGTGTCTATCTTTGAGATCAATCCATGCAGGAAATTTAATGGACCTAAAATCTGGGATCCTGTTCACAGAAGAAAAAGGGAGGAGACACTGGTTGCTGGACAAATGGTCTCTCACGGAACTATAAAACTCTACAGGCAACTCAACAGGAGAAAAACAGTTCTGAAATTGTCTTTTGTGCTATAATGTCTTAGACAGTTTTTGTGGAACATGACTGGGATTGATGTTTGTGCTGGTTGACCTTTTATTTTGCAGGAAGGTTAAAATGTATACATGAAAGGAAAATGACACAGTGCTTATTTGTCAAAAGCTCTATGCTGTTTTTGGCCTCAGCCTTGGGTATTAAAGGTACTAAGCATGTGTAATGACACAGCAGTCAACTAGTAGCCTCTTGGAATACTTCATCCAGAAGAGAATATTCTTAGAATAGCACTCATGTCTTGAATGTGTAATTTGCTGAAATGGCTTTAAAAATATTTTCAAGATACCTAGTAATGTGACTTTACTTCCAAGTCTGTTACCTGTTGTGGAAAGGGCTTTTGTTTTTCGTTTTTGGGGTTTTGTTTTGGTTTGTTTTTTTTGGGGGGGTTTCTTGTTTTTTTTGGTTTTTTTTTTTGTAATGGTTTACCATGTGAGTAATAATTGAATGGGGATCTCAGGATTATGATCTCCACTAAGCTAATAGAAATTTTGGGGAGGATGATAGGAGGACAGAAAAGCAGGAGTGTTTTCTAGAGATTAAGTAGTACTAGAGGTGGCTTTCATGGTTTAGGAGATTGTGTTCTGTTTTTTTAATGCATCTGTGAATGTGGTGGGTTTGTTTTTTTCTCCACTAGGAGGGTAACTAAGACTCAATAATTTTTTTATTGCCATTTGTATAACAAAATGATTTTTTTTCCCCCCCGGTAGGCACTGCTGTGTGTAGTAGTATGGTCTTTATTTTTATATAATAGTCATAATAACAACACAAGCTTTTCCCATTCATTTTACATCTCTTAGAATTTATGTAGAATTCCTTTTCCCTATGAAAAATAACTTTGACTTCTCAAAGTAGTTTTGAAGAATGCTATAAATGAAGGTAACTATAAATAGGTTGTAATTTTGCTGTTAAATCTCTGTAAAAACACACAAGACTTGAATAGTCTCACGTGGTTTTATTTGTCTTAAATTGGACCTTTGTACCTTTACATTTTATGTAGATTACTGCCTAAAGTGTATTTTCACATTCTGGATAAATGTCAGTAACTGGACAGAAGGTGCTTAAAAAGGAATTCATACTGGAAATTCATATTCCAGATATATTTCCTGGTGTGACTGATATTTAACTCCATCAGATGTGGTTTGCAGACTAAATGTGTGTTTCCTCTCGTCTCATGTTAGTGTAATTCAGAAGTTTTAAGTGCCACTGAAAACATGGATATATTGACTTAGTTTCTTGAAAAGGTTTTAATTACAGGTTAGAATTTTAAAAACTGCAACAAAGAAATCCTTACTGCATCACGTTGAGTTCCTGTATGGAATAAGAGCAGAAGTGATGGAGAAGCACTCTAAAAATCAATTTAGAATGCATTTATTTAGCACCTGAACTACAGTGATCTGTGTCTCCCTGAATGGTAACTTTTGCAGGATAGTTATGTGATAAAGTGTTTGAGAAGAAAAAAACAAACAAACCTAGAACCTTGATGCAGATTAATGCAAGAGCAGAGTTTATAAATTGTTAGCAATTTCAAGTGAGTCTCTTGGTTTGTATATAATGCCACTTAAAAGCCTTGGAAGTTGTGTGTTCTACCAGTGTTCAATGGATGTGGTTTATTGTGTCTGTCACAAAGACAGGAAGCTGAAAGAATGGGAAATTAAGTGAAAAATGCGGTATCCAGATAGATATCTGGGTTTAAATAGGGGAATTTTGGGGGTAGGAAAGGAAGGACTTCTGTCCTTCTGAAAGCTTTCGTTCCTCATGTCCTGTTCTCCGTATTCAGGCAGTGGTTGACGACTAATAAGAAAAACTATCGAAGAAATTGGTTATTTAGGGGCTCAACAGTTTAAAAACCTGCGAGTTTGGGGTTATAGGCTTAAATTTTTATATTCCCTATCATTTCTGTATAACTTCTGTGTTTTTTCCACTGTGTAAGCTTCCTAATATAGGAGTTTATTGCTTGTCCAGCATTATGCTCCTAATGCTGGGATACAAATCTTGTATTTGGACAGACTTCTGAATGTTGGGGCTTTTATTTAAAAAAAAACCTACAAAAATAAAATCAAACAGTCAAAAGCACAAAAAACTTTGTGTGGCTTGAGCTGGTTTTCTGGATTTTTATTAAAGCAGACACATGAGAGACAGCTGTGATTGCCCAGGTGTGTGGTAGCTTTCCAAGCATCTCCATGCAAATTTCAGCAGTTCATACACCTTTCAGCACATCAGAGGGATTGTTGTTGGAGGTGTTGTTGGAGGGAGTTGTCTTGGGAAATCGTGTGTGGAAGAAAAAGTTTCAGAGGTGGCAGGAGAAGCACAGAAACTGATTCTGTCTGGCTCTGACAGTGCTTGAAATGTGGAGATGCAGCTCAGTAGTGGTGTCAGTGGTTCATGGATTAGGAAGAAAATGGAAGATAGTTTCTGAAATCTGGTTTACAGGGTCTGAATGCAACTTCTGTCAAGTAAAAATCAGAATGGAAGAGGTAATTAACAAATGCTGAAGGCAGCAGGCTTTGTTAGAGAATGTCTGATTCACTTGCATTAGTCTGAATTCTGGGTGCATTTAAATGTTCTTCAGCTCTGCAGCAGTCCATGGCTGAACTGGCAAAACACTCCTGGATTGGATTTCCTTTTTTGCCTATGACTTCAAAAATTTGTTTCTGCCCTCCGATTTTGTGCATTACCCCTCTGCCCCTTTTTGTCATGTCCAATGCAGAACGGACATATGAAGGAAGTATTAAGTAGTTTTTGTTAGCTTCCTGTTGCATGGAAGCATTGCTTTTTGTTTTTCTTCTGGCAAGGCAACCTGACAAGCAACTCTATTTCATTTTGCTGCAGAGTTCCAACTTGATAACAGTGTAGTATAAGTCAGTTTAGAGTCATTCCCTCTAATGTTGACTCTTTCCCTGCTCATGGAACTGTAATTTAACTAATTTCAAGACTCCAGACTAATTTCCTTCCTTTTCCTCAGAAGTGTATAAGCAAAACCTCTGCATCAGTGTCCTGCAGCCACTGCTGTCGATCCAGCTACATTGAACAATACATTTGGGAGATTTAGCCTGTGTATGTGTCAAGATTCCTTAAATGAGGCACTTGTTGCCTTTGCAGAGACAGAAGTGACTGAGCTGAGTCTCTTCCAGTGCTTGGTACAGTGAGAAGGGTCAGAGGGCTCTGCTGACTCTGAACTGCTCCTGCTTCCTGCTGCCATGCTTGGGCTTTGCATTGTTTACGCACACATAGAAACGTGCAATTCCTGCTTTTGTTTTATTTTGGTTTGGAGGAGAAGAGAGGGAGCAGACTATCTGAGCCCCTAAAGTGTCTTTGGAAAGCAGAGATAATTTTTCCTGTAGTCCCACTGAAGTTTGTAGGAAGGATTTGAAGCAGATGATGAGGTTTTTTCCCTTTCTTTTTTTATCTTTTTTTCCTGTTTTCTTGCTGAGAATAATTAACATGTCAAGGTGATACCAGAAGTTTAGTTTAGCAGAGGCTCTGAATGAGTTAAATGAAGTGTTTTGCGGCTGTGAAGGCACCTCTTTAACCAGGTATCCACTTATTTTACCAGGCCTTAAGCACTGTCTGGAATATTCAGTGATATAATCCATGAGATGTACAGTAGCCAGTAAAGTCTCTGCTCCATCAGCATTTAACAGGTAATTTTCTAGCAGAGCATTCAAGATTATTCTATTGAAGGCACTAGTGAGAGACTTAGAAATCTCAATGTCTGAGTTACACCCAGTGGTGGAGATGTACATCAATCAATACCTGTTTCATCCTGCCTGTTGTAGGTTTTATGTTCAGCATGAGCGCTGAGGCAAGTTTGTTCTCAGTAATACTCTGCAGCTTTGAGATTCAGAAATTCTGTGATCTTCCAAAGAGAATTTCCTCTTACTGATTTCAGGCAATCTAGAAAATTCTTTTCCTATGAAAGATAGTGTGAAAACATAAAATCTGCCACCATTTTCTTACTTGCACATAGGTATATGCTCTTGATTTCTCTTTCTTTTTTTTAACTGGGCAGTTCCAATCTTTCTGTCTTCAGAGGGGTAAATAGTCTGTGTTTTGGGTTAGTATTCTGGAATACTTATTGCCTGCTTTTTTTCAAGTAAAGGTTAATACAGAAAGAAGAAAAAGTTAGTGTTTAAAAGAGTTCTCTGAGTTCCTTTTTATTTTTGGTTAACCAGCCAAGTTGTTTACCAGATTTTCCCCTGCTGTTTCTAATACACTTTTCAAGCAGAAATTCCTTTTGCTAGTGGCTGAATGTTCTTGTGGTTCTTTTATGCCTGGGTGTACCTCAGGTTTTAGCAGCCTCCTCCTCCATCCCCTTTGCTGCCTTACTGATGCTTTTGTAGTGGAAACTCTTTACAGGCAGAATTAATTCACAGTGGATTTCCCAGTGTAGGCACAGAAGGGATGTGTAACAGGTTCTTTTGTCATTCAGTTGTTGGAACTAACTTTTTGTAAAGAGGTGAACTTCATACTTCAGTTTTGTGTAATTCCTTACCCCTCTTTCTTCACCCTTACCCCCACCAAGTTCCAGAACTTGATGGAGATGTTCTTGTATTTTTGACACTGTCTAGGACCCTTCACACCTGGTAACATTGGTTTTGTCAACCAGTGGTGCAGGCAGGTGGGAACCACTAATATAGCCACAGTATCAGAAGTTGGGACTAATTTTATTTCTCCTCTTGTGGCTTCTTTTCCTTTCAATGGCAGAATTAATTCAGGTGCTGTGTTGTTGTTGTTTATTTCCCTTTAACATAAGGACAGTGAACCCTGGCACAAAACCTCCTCACTTCTGAGGTGCTTCCTGTGGAGAGTTTGAAGTGCCCATCACCAGGAGAAGCAGAAACATGATGTTGGATCCAAATTGTTGCTTTAAGGTGCCATCTTATAGCTTGGAATGAGCCTTGGCATGGCCATTGCAGTTAATTCACTTTTGTCAGTGTGCTCCTTTTCCCTCATCATGCCTGACTCAGAACTGCATTTGTTAAATAAAATACATTTCATTTTAGAAGTAAGCAGAAAAAGGGCTGATAGATTATATATATAGAATTGTACCTCCCAATTAATGAGCCACAAGTTGGAAAGTTTTAATCTCTTGAGTTCAGTTTTTAATTGTATCAAAAACTATTTAATCTTGTTGCATTTTTTACTTGTTTTCCACTGCCAGCTTTCACCCAGGAAACCTTCACAGACTGCTGACATGTGTTGGTCTCTCGCTCTCAGTGAAGCTCTTTCCAAATGTTACAAATTACAGTTTCAGTTCTTACTCTGGTGTTAACAGCTCCATTATGGGAACACTGTTAATTAATGGCTAAAGAAGTAATTCTGAATTTTTATCAGCTCTCATTTTCTATTTCAGGCTTAAGCACTATATCCTAGAGGCTTCTAGATTTCAGTTAGTTTATTAATTATCTTGTCATTTCCACTTCAGTTTGTATAAATCACAAAACCGGCTGTTTTCTGCACTTGTTCGGCTCTACAGCCTCTGTTACTACTCAGTGTTTAGTGCATTTTGAATTTTGTTGTTCGAATGTTCTGCTCAAAATATGCTTTTAAACTCCTGCAAGAGCTGAGTGAACTGGGGTGTGCAGGTTATTGATTGATGGATGTTCACTTTGTGGTTAACCTTGTTCTGCTGGTTGAGGTAAAGAAGTGCTCTGCTGTGGTGTAGCAAGGGGGTAAATAATATTTTTTCTGCTGGATTCAGCACTGGTAGGATTTCATTCTGTTAGGTTTTGGGCAATGGACATCAATAGTTTTCTTTTTTTGGATGCTTTTAGTAGCAGATGCTTGAGAATATGGCATCTAAGAACTAAACAAATTAAGATGTTAAGACTTAACAAGAGATAAGAAGTGAAATTATTCCCATGCATTAGGCTACTATGAGGATAAAGGTGATAAAGGATTACAGGGACTAAAATGAGAATTAGTTGACTTAAATAATGGGACCAAAGACTTGGGTTGGTACTTGGGGAGGAAGACTTCTAAATCCAAGAATCACAAACCATTGGGATAGATTAGGGAAGGAACTCATACCTGACAATCTTCAAGACCAAATTAGTCATCTGTCAGAAAGGGGATGCTGTTCATTCCTACCTTAGGAGTGGCAGCTTGACAAGGTGACCTCTTGAATCCTGTCCAGCACTGATTTTAGTGATGAGAACAGGTAAAGAATGTGGGGTGATTATCTGCAGGATTCTGGTGATAATCAAAAGGTTGCTGACAGTAACCCCAGCAGCTGAGAGTTCTCTGTGGGCTCGTGTGCTCTCTGTTATCTCTGCAATTGCCTGAGACTGTGCAGCTTTGATGTGAATCTGTCCCAGGCAAAGCAGATTGTGTTTCCTTTGTGGAAGGCTGGAAAGGTCATGGGGAGAAAAACTTTTCTGTTTTGTTCTTCTGCCGATGTTACCTACATAGCACTTGGAAAACAGCATTATGAACTGGTTACTGATATTACAACAATTAGTTTAGCTGCTGTTTTATCTAATTTCAAGGAGGAAAACATGCAAGACTTTTAAACTGTACAAACAAGTTGATAAAGTGGCCTTAGGATGACTTTTATTTCTTCTAGTATTGCCCTTTAATTAATTAAAATATATTATTATATACTAATAAGATTAGCTTTGTTTTCAGAATAATAGGAACTTCTTTTGACGCTTTTCTTTGTTTTTCTGTCAGTCTTTCACTCTTTAGTATGATAATTTGTATTTGTATGATATATTTGTATTTGTTTTACCACTAGGCTTTGTCTTAATCATAACTCGCATGAATCTGTTTTAAAGCAAGTCAGAATGTTTCTCAGCATTTTGCCATGGAAGGAACAAACTACTACTGAGATTGGGAAGCAAAATTAAATAATCTTTAGTGGAAATGTGTGTGAAGGCAAAATGTAATCCTGTCTGGCTGTACCTGCTACAGCTGCTGCATCTGAGATGATCCTTAGGAAAGAATAAATGCACAGGTCTGGTAGCTTTTAAATCACTGGGTTAAAAAGTAGAGGTAGAAGCTGTTGAAATTAACACTTCAGTGCTGCATCTGAGTTTTTGTGGTGTCTTTGGGCTGAGAGGAGAAGCGAAGAATGTGCATTTGTGCAATGTGTGGGAATTTGTGTAAACTGCTGTGGTCTGGGGAAATAAGTGCCATTTAAGAACCCCTCAATTGGTTGAAAGTTAAGGGAAGCCCTTTTCTTGTCATCTGCATTAAAACCTGTTTAATCAGTTCTAAAAACTGGTTTTCTTGTTGAGGATTATCTTTGTGAATTCTGGGATTTCAACTGCTAGCTGGGGGGAATCTCCACCAAGGAGGAGGATTACAGTTACTGTACTCCTTAGTGAATATGTGTAGAAATTTTTTTATGCATATTTATCAATGGTTATCAGGAAAAATCAATGCATTTCTACTGGTGAAAAATACTATTTTTATTTTGATGGTACAGTTTGAGAATTGAAATTTATAAGAGAAATAGTGGGGAAAAAAGTATATGGGATGTGTTTTTTGAGGGGGAATACTCTCACTTGGTTTGTTCTCGAACATTTTGTGAATATTAGATTGAGCTTAGTCCCTTTATTTTTTGGGTTGTGGATGGAAAAAAAAAAATCAGTCAGAACCTCTGTAAAACTTAGTCAAAGAGTGGAGTCAAAAGGAGGAGTGGGATGTAACACTGAATTCACTTCTGTTCCATTTCCTGCCTAGAGTTCCTGACGGTATTTCATTTGTATACTTGAGCTTTGGTACTCTGGAAATTTGCTACCTACGTGAATTTATTAACGAACCGAGTGAATTTTTTTAGAAGATTAGGCCCATTTAGAGGAAGCTGGTGTGCAGCACACGATTAATCCTCAGATGGGGATTTAAACGAAGTGGAAGTTTAGATGTGTCATAGGCTCCCAGCCCCTGCTCATTCAGCTCAGTGAAGGGGGGGTTTCTTTGTGATGGCAGTGCTGCTCTTCTCACGCTTCCAGCAGCCAGTGCTGGGCCTTGCTCTCCTTTCATCAGAGGAGGAGAGGGAATTCTTCAAGACAGGACTGTGTAATGTTGGCTTCATTTTACAACTGAATCAGCTTTTTCTTCTCTTAAAGGCAAACAGAACCTTTAAACTGTTTCAAAATCTGAAGAGAGTATTGAACAGGGCTTCCCTTCATAGCAAACAGATTTTGGAGTTCTATAATGCATTTAATTTTTTGGTGTTTAATGGGGATTGCATTGAAGTTCCCTCTTTGAAAAGCATTTGATACCTCTGTGGAAATAGATACTGAGCACCAGTATTCTCAGGTGGGAGTAGGAACACTGGTCATATTATACCAAGGAAGAGGTCATAGAGTGAAAGTATAAAAAGGGTGATGGCTGCACAAGTTGTGAAAATAAATGTACATAAACCACATTTCTGTGAATACCTTACTCCTGAAGTTGACAGAAGTAGAAAAACAAGGCAAGACCTTGTGGGTAGCTGGGTTGAGATCAGTTTTGGAAAGGCAAGATGAAAGTGGTGAGTTTGAGAAAGGATTTGGAACACAGTCAAAACGAAGTGGGGAGGGGGAGAGTGGTGCCCGTGTGCATATAATGTGAGTACTTAATGCACAGCTGTCGCTTGAAATATGATCGTTTTTTGGACTGAGTCTGTGTTACAGCAGTTTGGAGTGTTATGTTGAACTTGTGTTCTGTGTTGTTAAAACTTTGTGTTTTTATCTGATAGGGAATAGGAGGTGATAGTAAGTATGAGCTTTTTATTTTTTTATTTTTTTGTGTGTGTTTTTCATGTGATGTGGAATTGAGACCTTACTGAAGGTTGTACTTCTTTCCCCAGGTAAGTTATAACAATCTGGTTAAAAATTTCTGCAGAAGTACTGGTGGTGCAGCTGACAGTGTCTTAGGCTCTGTGTTTGGGTCCAGTGAGGTGTCCAGATTCTGCTTTATGGACTATATTCTTCTGGTGGCCAACCCAACTAAATAAGTGCTTGTATGCCAATTATCCTGAAACAAGACTATTAAATCCTCACAGCATTGTCTGTGCAAACAGTGTTTTTGAGTTGGTCTAGAATTCAGTAACTGCCCTGACTGTTCTGGGGCTTCTCCTGAAGGCCAGGGTCTTTTGTTAATAGATTGTACTCAGGGCTGTGTTGTAATTATTCTTCTGCATGGCAGGGTTTTTGGTGCTGCTGCTGAAAGTGCTCCAGGCAGCACTGAGGTGTGAGGGAGTGGTGAGAAAATTTAAGTTGTACAAATTGGAAGGGACCCAAAAGGACCATTGAGTCCAGCTAAGGCTTGGTGCCATGACTGCTTCCTCGGGGAGCCTGTTCCAGTGGCTGACCACCTTGCCTGTGAATAGCATTTTCCTCATGTCCAATCTGAATTCCCCCTGATGCAGCTTCATCTCCCCTTTTTTGTGTCTTAAATATAAATGTTCATACAGACTACATTTTTTTCAAAAGACCGATGGAATGCTTCGCTTCCTATCTTGTTAAAACATTAAAACTTAGATCCTTTCTGTCTCCTTAAAACAAGTGGCTGGAAAATAATTCCCTATGAACAGTGTACAGTTCACTCATGGAAGTTTGTTTGTGGTTGCTCAGTGACTGCCAAAGTTCACTTGATTCAGTTGTTTGTGAAAGATACAGGAGAGTACAGCTACAGAAATAATAACATTGCAGATAACTTGGCTATAATTGTCTCATCTCTGCTAAAGAAGATATTACTTGTATCCAGCAGTTGCTGTTTCTGTTTTTTCCCTGCACTGACAGAGCTCTGCAAGTCTTTCCTGTCTGCTGTGATCTTTGTGGAGTTTTCCTTTGACTCACTGTAGAGCCAAAGTGGCATTATCAGAGACCAGATTAAGTATTCTGTAAGGATAGACACATTGCAGTGCATAAAACTGTTTATTTGCTTTGTTGCTGTGGATCAGAGTTAGGAGAGGGAAGTGAAACAAATAATGTTGGTCCCATCTTTGGCTTTGTGGAGACTGAGGTCCTTGAGGTCACTGCTGTGTTGAAATGGAGTGGAGAATCTCAGGTGTTGGAGGAAAGGTATTTGTGTGTGAAGAGTGAAGAGGACAAATTTTGAAATCTTGAAAAACACAGTCAAAGAGCTTTAAAGGTAGCTGGAAACATGAGGAAAGTGAGGAAGGAGCTCCATGCCTAGAAGATGAATTAAAATTTTTACTCCTGGATACTGGTAATTGTCTAATGGCTCAGTGTTTTCCTTTAGGAAGGAGTCAAAATTAGAGAGGGAATAGAATGATACTAGAGGATGAAACTTCAATTTTCAGGCCTTGTAGGTGGACATTTAGATCTACAAGTAAGTTCTTTTTTAATTACAAAGAGGTAGAATTCTGTGTTGATTTTAAGAGGAGAGTGAGGTATTCCAGGGGTAGATAAAGCAGAGCAAAAAAAATAAAGAAGAAAAACTGGATCAAGTGGATGACTTACAGGTGGTTTGGAACAGTCTAAAAGGGAATAGTTTTTCACCACAAAAAGAGTTAAATTTAACATTTAAATATTGTCACTTTACTGAAAACCTTTTCCATGTAGAAGAAGGTAGAGAAATTTCAAAAGCTGTGAAAAATCCTCAACCCTTCTAATTTTTTTCCCCTGAGCAGATATACTTGTTTGGGGCTTTTTAAAAATTATTTTAAAGAAACCATTTTGTAAGATGCATAGATTTTTATTATTTTTTTTTACAAAAAGTCAAATTAAAAGCACAAATGTTCAACCCAAACCATCTTTTATGTTTAATCTCCTTTTGACCACTTTAGAAGCTTTCAGCATTTTATCCCTATTAGGAGGAGACTAATTGGTGTTTTAAGAAGTGTTACAACTGGTTGGACTTGAGTTTAGCATAGGAGAGTTCTTGTCACCACTTGCTTCCTAAGTAATTGATGAATGAAGTAAATCAGTAAGTAACCTGTGAAAACAAATATTGGGAAGGTGTGCCTGGAAAAGGCTGTTGGTGTAAGGGAGAACAAATGATCCCATTTTTGGATTGTCCTGACTGCATTACTTGTAGCAGCTAATGAACAAACGAGAGGCCCTTTATCTGTCCTCTGGGATTGCCTTCCAACATCAAATCAAATCACAGTGCCATGCATTTGTACACTGAATTTTACACACATGGGTGGTTCTATTGAAAATCAGTGGGAGAACTTGTGTGGAAAATTTAACATGCCTGTAAGTGCATTATTGATGCCTCAGCAATTAAAATAATATTTTTCTAGTGTTTGGTGCTTTTTCGATGGTGCCTATGAGTCCCATGGTATTGCACAATCATTTTAAGAAGTATTTTAAGGGTGTTACTGATGTAACTTCCCAGAGTAGGGAAAGATCATTACTACTGGCCTTGGAAATTAAAAGTAGCTTTTGCCTTATCAGAAAACATCTTTAGTTAAATCACTGAGTGCACGGATTTCTCAGTCTGAGAAGCAGTCTAATGAGCAATTTGCCTTTTCATAAAGACTTGCCATGTTATCATTCCCATTGTGTTAATTATCAGTGTTTTTGCAAATTGTCCCAAATCATGACTAATTCCATAAAAACGTTCAGAGCAGACGTGATTGTGGGAAAAGCTGTCGTTTGCCACTCAGTCTGGCAGAGATGGTGGGACAGCCTGACTTAGCAGATTCTGTGTTAACCATAAAATCAGGGTTTGGAGGCAGTGCCGTTCATCTTATGTAGCACCATAAAAGCAGTTCAAGTTCTTGCTGATTTTTTTTCTCCATGGTATGGATGTGCATTTCAGGTAAATGTGACTTTTCTGGTTCTCATATTGAAATTAAAGTATTTTACTTTTCTCCCCCTAATACCCAATTTATTATAATTTAGATGAAAGCTTAAAAGAAACTGTGCAGAGATTATTTGAACTTTTAATGTTACTGTATCTCATGAGAATTTTTTGTGGAAATCTTTTGGTGGTCTTTGTGTGTGGAAGATTAAGTATTTAAGGTGAATAAAGTTTGGGAAACAGTTCTTAGAAATCCAGTTTTATGTGCATTATATAGAAGCTTGGGCTTTCTACTGGTACTAACTTTGTCCCTATAGGATGTATTTGTTTGAAAGGGAAAGAAGAAAAACAGCAAGCAAAGTAATAAACTCAACTCTACATTACTTGACTGTGGAATTCTTTTAGATCAATTGTTTTCTTTAAGAAACGATCCCACAACTTTCTGTGTATTACTTGTGTATTGAGCAATATCTTTGTGTATTTGTTACTTCAGCTGAGAACTGGCTCAGCTGCACTGTGATGCACATACCCTGAGGAAATAAATGCTTTTCACTAGTTCCTCCCACACACTTTTTATTTTCCAGGGAAGCACTTTCTAATTCTAGATCTGGATGCTGCTAATGCTTTGAATCACTCATCATGGTTTTCAGCACTCTGTTGTTTTTGCTATTAAATGTAGATTATCAGTAATAAAGGTTCATTTTGTGATGCTTTAATCCTCCTCCTTCAAAATAACAAATCCATATAACTTGGGAAATTTTTAGTTTGCTTTCATGGGAACGACAGGATTTCAGGCAACTTTTCTGTTTTGAGTTCAGTTATAAGTGTCTGGCTTCTACTTACACAAACTTCTTCTGTGTTTTGTTTTAGGGTGGGTTTCTTTTGTTCTTTTCCTAAGGACTTCCAGCTAAATAATCTGCGCTTGTAAAATAGGATATGTACTGCAACTGGTTACTTAGGGAGGTTCTTGTCTTCATAACATGAGTATCAGTTAATTTGCTCTGAAATTTTTTGGATGTTTGACTACTGTGATATTAGTTGAGAAAATACTCTAATGAGTTCTCAATATTTGTTTCAGATTTCATGTTTCATCCTGTATTGAGCACCTGCTGCTGAGAGCTGGAAAGTCTACATAGGGTATGTACAATAGCTAATGATTTCAATTTCACACTGAGTTTTATTCTGGGTAAAGCAGGTCAAGATGAGATTTTTTTGTTGTTGTTATTGTTGTTCTTTCCTTATAATTATTGTTGAAAATCCTGATTGTTAAACAGTGGGTGTTAAAACAGAATTTCTTGGTTTGTTTTTTTCCCTGAGCCTCCTGGAACTGGCTTTTCTCTGCCAGCCTCTTCATGGTCCTTCCATTCAGCCTGAGGGTACAGAGGTGGGCAGACCTGTGCAGCAATTAATTTATTGTACATGAGAGGTGATGTTTTCTCACCTGCCAAAGCCTCTTGGCTGAAAATTGTCTGACCACTCCCACGTGCTGCCTTTTGGAGCAAAATACTAATAATTCTCTATTCTCATGTTCTGCTTTTCTGTAGTACAGAATAAATGTGCCTTAACAAAGCAAAACCTTTGCTGTAGGGACACTTGGCCTGATCTGAAGTTTAGCTAAAAGCAGGAGTAGAGAAGTTACAGCCACAGTATTCTTTGTATTACAGGGATTGATTTCTGGTCTGCATATTTTTGATTCCTTGTGACCCCCCTGTCTCCAGGGTGAATGGTTATATTAGAAAATTTCAGTTTTACTCCTCAGTGTAGTTGGTATTTCTGACTTCTGCCTTTTCTGCTGCTCATATATATGCATGTTTGGAATATTCTAACATTTGAGTGTGGCTAGAATAACTTGTTGGATCCTTGTTTTTCTTTGTGGTTTGGTTTCCCCCCTTTCTGCAACCTTCCCTGTGATTGGTGGTTTGTGACCCTGTATTAATTTTTTTTTTTCTGTTACTTTGGCCGGTAACAAAATTCATCTCCTGTTACTTCAGGAGCACTTTTGAATCTAACTGGTAGATGTGGTTACCCTTATTTAAAGCTTTGATATCACATGGTTTAGAGTCATTAATGTTCTTGCCTGGACTGTGATACACTTGAGAACCAAGGAGATTTGGCTGCTTGCATTTCACATGGAGCAGGCTCCTAATGGGACTTCAGGCTGTGATCTTGTATCCATAATATATGGATTTTCATCTTCACAAATCAGCAGAGGGTCACTTACTGTCTCCTGACCATCTAAATTGGCAGGGATAGATGTCTTTATTCTTCAGTAGCTTACTTCTGGATGTTGTCAGCCTTTCTTAAGCTTCAGTTTTCAAGTTTATGAAGAATATTTGCTTCTCCTCTCCAATTTCTTCCTTCCCTCTTCTGGTATGGGATGATGTTTGTTTATATTATGCAGTTGTTTTTTTCCAAGGAATTCCACCTACTCTTACCACTCCAAAGAGAAAGTTTGAATGGCTTAAAAAATAGCAATCTTCTGTTTTGTCACTGAAGTTGGAAAAAGCCTGAAGTACTTTAGTTGGAATCAGTACTGATATTTTTATCAGTTGAAATCAAAATTTGTAGCCTTACGCCTCATGTTAATTCTGACTTATGATTCAGATGGAAACCCAGACACTTGAAAAATATTTCCTGGACGTGGAAAGCTAATAGTGTGGGAAATCCAGAAAACAAGGGCAGGGGGGTTAGTGCAAAACATTTTATCATATATAAAGGCCTGCAAATCAGATCTGTGATTTCAGGGGTTTTAAATGCTTCCTTGAATTTTGTTTGACCTTTTGAGAGGAACAGCTCTGACTGTTCTAATGTCACAAGCAAAAGAGTGCACTTGTCTGTTTTGTGAACTGAAGCCATTTGCTCCCTGGAATACACGGTTCCAATGAGTCATATCCTGGTAAAACCATGACAACAAAGTATTTATTAGTTTGTTAGGTAAATATCTTGCAGTACCTGCCTAGATAAGACTTTATAGAAAACCAGCCCAGTAAATAACAAGGCTGTGAAATACAACGTAGAGTAAGAGGAAACAGTAAAAAATCTTAAATGTAGATTGCAAGTACTTCTAATTTGTCAAGTTTACATTGAATTCTGTGAATGTTTTCTTAATTCTGGCTGAGGATTTGGTAAGAGGAAGGGATTAGTGCTACTTGCTCTTTGAAAGTAGTATTGTATATGCAAATACTGCAATGACAGTTCCAGTGGAAATGACAAAAAAATATACTGCATCTCTTACTTATCCAGCTGCTTTATTATAAACTGTTACTTTTTGTATTCAAACTGCAAAAAGTCAAGCTGTTACTTGTACCATGATAGTCTTTTCATCATGTGGTCACATACTTTGTTCCATAGAATCACAACCTGTTTGCTTCTAGTACCCTTGTCTGCTCATGACAGTATTCAAGCCTCCCTCTTACAGGATGGAGTTTCCAAGTGTGCTGCCTTCACCCATTCATCTTATGGTTTTATTAGTATCTGTACTGGATGGAGTCACAAAACTTAGGATGAAAGGTTTCATTTTGGAGTCTGGGCTCTGACATGCCTGTTTTTGTTGTAATGTTTAAAATTTGCACTTGGAGCAGATCTCTCACTGATTTGAACATCACTGGAATCACTTGGCAGTTCTGCATTTAACTCACCAGGTATGAAGACCATAAAAGAAAAGCAGGGAACTTGACAAAATGACTGCTAACATCATCCAGAATCTCTGAATGCCTGAAGGGGGAGACCTTACTGCTCTCTACAACTCCTTGACAGGAGGTTGTAGACAGGGGACTGGGCTCTTCTTCAAGGAAACAAGGGACAGGACAAGAGGAAATGGCCTCCAGTTGTTCCAGGGGAGGTTTAGATTGCACATTAGGAAAAACGCCTTCACCAAAAGGATGGTTGAGCATTGGAACAGGCTGCCAGGGAACTGTTTGAGTCCCCATCCCTGAAAATACTCAAAAAATATGTAGATGTGACACTTGGTGACATGGTTTAATGGTGGCCTTGGCAGTGCTGGGTTGATGCTTGGACTCAGTGGTCTTAGAGTTCTTTTCCAACCAAAATACTACTATGATTCTCAAATAATGAGTGTAGAAGACACAAATCATAAATAGGAAGGGATTATGAGCAGCAGTTCTATTTAACTTTACAATTCTGACTTATTCCTGAGGCTCGTGTTTGAGCTTGGTATTGGTGCAGGCATTGTCTAGGGAAAAATGTGTAATTTTACACGTACGTATTGTGTGATTTCAAACATGCTGGTCAGCCACTGATGGTATGTGCTGCCAGTCCTTCCACCTGAGGAGCACCTTCCAAAGGATGTTGTCTGGATTGTATCTCTAATGAAGTGACTTCAGGTGCTTTCCAGCTTTATGGTTTTATTTCAGGTGGAATTAAACTAGTGTTGGATGAGAAACCTTGTTATATCCAGCATAACACTTGTTTAAATACAGTATTGCAGATGGATAAATTAATGTTCCTTTTTATCTCTTATGGTTAGAAATGCTTCCCTAGTGAAATCTCAGAGATCTAGGTTCTTGTGTATTTTGGGTGTTATGCATGTAATTTTGTTTTAATCCATTCAGGGCTTTTCTCGATACAAAATTTGTTTCAAAAGATTTCAGTTGGCACTTGAAGGTGTAAAGAACAACTACTTTTTTCAAGTGTAAAGCTAATTAATGGATGTTGCTTCTTGCCAGTAAGACCTACATGCTTATAGCTCCTCCTGGCTTCTGGAAGTGGAATTTTGCTGGGCTTCCTGACTGGTTTGTTATTCTGGACTTTTGGGTGATCGCAGAAAGATTTATTTTGCCACCAAGGTTATGATAAACTTTAGCGTCTTCCAGGCAGGCTGGGCTCACACGTGTACGAGTTCGGTACAGAACATCCTCTTCTCTCAGGCTGTGCCCTTCCAAGGGCTCTGTGCTCTGTCTGAGCTGACAGGCACCACCAGGGTTTCAAAGCAATGAGTTTGGATGGAAGGAACACAAACCATTCTGTGTGGTGCCTGATGCCTTTCTGAGCTCTGTCCTGGCCTTGGCTCTGCATGGCTTATACTCCTCAGCCTGTCCCCAGAGCAACTGTTGTCTCTTTCAGGGGACTAAGTGGGCTTGGGGAAATAAATTTCAGTGTTTGGGGTATTGTCCTGCATTGTCTCATCCCTCCGTGGAGTTCAATAAAACTTCAGCCTGGCTGGATTATCTTGGAATATGTTATCGAGATAGAATGAAGTAGAGCTTCAGTTTTCCCTCTGGAGGTGCCAAAGGTCTTCTGTATCCCAAACAAAATATTTGTTTTGGTTGTTAGCCCTCTGGTAAATGTGAATAGGGAAACATCAAGCAGAAAACAGTGTGACTCTGTAAATAATACTGCTTTGTAATGCAGCTTGGATGGGCCTGGAGCAGCACATTCTGATGATGCCAGGGATGGCCATACAGTGCTGCTGCTGCTCCCTTCCTGCCTGTTTAAATGGCAGATTTGAGTAATGATATTCTGGTTATTATTTGAGGTAAAGTTTGTAGCTCTCCTTCTTTGAGAACACTTAGCCTGCTCAGTGGTAATTTATAATTGGCCTTTGATCCTGTGTCTTGGTTAATGGGTTAAGGTCTGCACTGGCTGTTGTTTACAAAGTGCACAAAAATGTTTAATGCTGGCCTAGGAAAGTTTCTAAAAGCAGCAGGATATTCTGAATCTTTGAACAAGACCATTCTTATACGAAATAATCAATGATAATGTGCTCCTCACTGCTAGGTGGTAGATTTCTTAACTTTCCAGTATGTTCAGGTTTCAGATACTTAGAATCAACTCCCTATCCACCTTGCATGTCCAAATATTCCTTGGTGTTGTAAGAAGAAAACCTGAAGGGAATTTTCTGAAAACGTAAGAAGACCAAAATTCAAACCAGATAGATTCAAATGTTTTCAAGGCTTGAAAATTTCAATTTTTACTTAAAAACGGAGTAAAGCTTTCCAGGCTTCCTGTTCTCTTCCATGGCAGTGTTTGTAACTGGTGTAACATCTCGAGTTGTAGTGTGGGTTAGGTTGTAATGAGTGTCCTTACAAGAGAAGGAATATTCGGGGATACAAATGTACTGACATGTTATAAAATACTTAGGGAAAAAAAAGGCCAGCTTGATAGGCAGCAGAACCAGC